ATAGTAAGACTCTGCCTCAAAAAATAAGCAAACAAGGCTGAGGTTGTAACTCAATGAGTAGAGTGCTTGCCTAGCCTGCAAGAAGCCTTGGGTTCCATTCCTAGCTCTGTGTAAACCAGGCACAGTAGTGCAAGCCTGTAATCCTTTTGGGAGGTAGAGGCAAGAAGATCAGAAGTTCAAGATCACCTTTGGCAATATATCAAGTTCAAGGCCACCCTGGGATACATGAAATCCTACCTCCCTACCCCCCCAAAAAAAGAAAATTAAAATGAACAATTAAGCATGCACTCTAAGAAATGTAAATGAAAGGTGAGGAGATGCCAGAGAAGTCACTTGCTTTGGGACTGCCTTGCGGAGGATGTGACACTTGACTGGGTCCTGAAAGATACTCATCAGAGGCTCCTAGGTAGAGAGGGGTGTTCCAGTCAACATGGGCCAAGTGTCTAACACAGGTGCTATTGTAGGGAAATGACCCAGGACATACCAGGACTTCTCAGAGGAAACTGTGTAGTTTCCAGCTTTAGGCCTCTGTGTCCCCGGGAAGGATGAGATGCTATACTACATCCTTATTTAACATTGAAATGCATGAGGCTTCGACTGGTTCCTGTTTTGACCAAGGACATCACATAGCTTGGGGCCTGAACTACAGCCCTTTGATGACAAGTCTGGGATTCCTTCCAAGAATGCCATACTGTGCCCCACACCTTGAAGGGATGGCTAGCGTCCTAGCAAGAGTCTGTGGGCCAGTACCCAGGACTTCACTATCACACCCCACTTCTCTTCTCTGTGAAAGGGAGCCAGGAATAACTCACCAGCCGCCCTAATCTGGAACACTGGGGCAGCAGCTGAGTCCCAGCGAGCCAGGTCACAGCCTGAAGTTCACAGGTGCCACTTCCCAGGCCTTCTGGAAGCTGGGAGGGGAGAGCTGCCAGGTCAGACAAGTCCAGGGCAATCTGGGAGGGAAGCTGGAACTTGCACAGGCAGAAAGTGAAGGACCAGGCAGTTTCCTCATCCAGAGCTGGAGAGGTGGGCCACAGTGACCACCAGACATGTTCCTTACGCCTCTATTGAGCCACAGTATCTTGTCTCAGCCTACATGTCCACATGTTCCCAGCACCTCTCCAAGACTGAAAGCCAGGCAGGAAGCCCTGTCTCCCAAGAACATGCTTCCCTGCTCTGTAGGAGAATCAGATTAAGAACAGACCAAGCTAGTACTCACTCTGAGCAACTGAGCCCTTACTAACTGCCTATAGGCTTATCCATATCTATTCTCCTGGGGCATCCAGAGCCAGGAGCCCCATCTCAGAGGAGACCCTCGCTGGCCCCAGTATCTCCTGTTTAGTCAGTCTTGGAAACAGGAACTAGCCAGAGAGCCCAACATAAGGCCGGAGACATTTGCCTCTTTATCATGATAGGCTGTGGCCAGATTAGTGCCTTGGCACCTGCAGTGTGTTCATTAAATATTTGTTGGATTGACAAGTTTCCCTTTTTGCCAAGTCCTTGCTTATGTATGTGTGCATATGTGTAGGTGTGCATGGGGGAATCTAACTCTGGTCATCAGGCTTGGCAGCAGTATCTTTACCTAATGAGCTACCCCTTAGTCTCTCTTTTGTCAAATCATCATCATCTTCCTCCTCTTCTATTTTTCTTTTTAAATTTTATGTGTACGAATGTATACCACAGGTGTGCCTAGAGATTAAGGATGGTTGTGAGCCACCATATGGGTGCTGGGAATAGAACCCAGGTCCTCTGCAAAAGCAACAAGTGCTCTCAATCTCTCTGAGCTGTTTCTCCAGCTCCCTCTTTAGCCAAATCTAAAACAAACAAACAAAAAACTCTTTGAGTGAACTTTAAAATGTGACTAAAATATTTGTTGTTTTTGTTTGTTTGTTTTTCTGTTTTTTGTTTTTTCCAGACAGTATTTCTCTGTATAACCACTCTGGCTGGCCTGGAACTTGCTCTGGAAACCAGGCTGGCCTCGAACTCAGAGTCCACCTGCCTCTGCCTCCTGAGTGCTGGGATTAAATGCTTGTGCCAATGTGCCACTACTGCCTGGCAAGGATTTTTTTTAAATAAAACTATCTTTCCATTTTGGTTTACTCACACAAGCACAGTGGTTAGCGTGTGACCGTTCTCACTTTACTCCCCTTGTGTACTCATTTATGGTCCTAGCTGCTGTCAACATGGTCTTCTGCTACCTCTCCCTCCCCCCTCCCCCATCTCTGTGAGTCCGAGGCCCTTTCACTCTCCATTCTGTCCTGCTAGCCCAGGAACCCACAGAGATGACAAATGTGCAGGAAGGTGCTGCCTCCGAGTCCCAGGGGAGCATATGTTAAGGTGCTGGGGAAGTCACTTGGGTCCCATCCAGCCATGTCTTAGGAATTTCTCAAGCCTCTGGTTTGTGTGTGTCTTGTGTCCAGAGGGTTCTGAATTCCCTAGGGGAGAGGGACTGAGATTGTGCTGGGTTATACTGTGTGTGTGTGGGGGGGGGGGTGCGTGGTAACATGTGGACCCGTTTGAAGGTTCTGAGCAGAACTTAGGGTGCCTGGGAGGGAGAGAGGGAGGGAGGGAGGGAGGGAGGGAGGGAGGGAGGGAGAAAGCCACAGAAGTCAAAGCACAAAAGGCCTGCAGAAAAGAGAGCAAGAGAGGTTAGATGCCATGCTAAGCTGTGACCTATTAACGTATTAATTAATTTAATCAGTATACTGAAATTCTATTCTAAGTTCAGTGCCAGGGTGTAAATGAACAGTGCTTTAAAAGGCTTTAACATTTATTTATTCATTCATGGGGGTGTGCTTGTGCCATGGGCACTTTGTAGAGGTCAGAGGACAGCATTTTAAAAGATTGTATATGTATGTATGTGTGAGTGTGTGTGAGTGTGTGTGTGTGTGTGTGTGTGTTGCTGGCATTGGCCAGAAATGTGTGTCTGATCCCTGGAGTTGGAATGATAGGCAGGCTGTGGGCTGCCCAATGTGGATGCTGGGAATGGAACTTGGGTCCTCTGGAAGAGCAAGTAGAAAGTGTTTTTAACAGCTGCAACATCTCTCCAGTCCCTCAGAGGAAAGCTTGCAGGAGTTGGTTTTCTCCTTCCATCATGTCCATCCAGGGTTGAACTCAGATTATTATCAGGCTTGCAAGCAGGTACTTTCACCTACTGAACCATCTGGTTGGCTGAATACACAATGTAGTGTTTGATAAATACTAATTTCCCCCACACGTATGGAGTAAATAGTCCATGGGGCTCGAAGGTTGCAGCTTCTCCTACTGAGAGATAGCTAAATATAAGAATATAACTACAGTCAGGTGGTGCACACCTTTAATCCCAGCTTTCAGGAGGCAGAGGCAGGTGGATCTCTGTGAGTTTGAGGTCAACCTGGTCTACAGAGGGAGTTCCAGGACAGCCAGTGCTAGAAACTGTCACACACACAAAAAGAATAACTACAAAGAGTGGAAGCAGTTCATCTAGCAATAAGTATATATTTAAGCAAATAATGGTATGTCTATATAATGGAATATTATGCAGCAATTAAAATGAAGTTTGCAAGCATAGGAGAAGTAAGTAGTCATAGTTCTAATAGCCTTACGAAAGCACATTTACAATACTCCCTGGGAAAAAGTTAAGAATCTGGAGAGATAAACATCCACAAAGAAAAGCTAGAAGGAAAGCCTATAAAATGGGCCTGGTTGATAGGGTAATTGATTAGCATGTTCAAAGCCCTGGGTTCCATTCATAGCATAGTGTAAACCTGGGTGGTGGTGCATTAGAATCCCAGGATCAAGAGTTCGGTATCATCCTCAGCTACATAACAAGTTTGAGGTTAGTCAAGGCTATGTGAGACCATTGTGCCTCAAAAAAAGAGGGGAGGGATGGGGCTGGAGAGAATGCTCAGCAGTTAAGACCACTGGCTGTTCTTCCAGAGGACCAGGTTCAATTCCCAGCACCACCTGGCAGTTCACAACTGTCTGTAACTCTAGTTCCACTGACACTCTCACACAGACATACCTGCAGGCCAAACACAAATGCACATAAAATAAATAAATCTAAAAAAAGTTTGGGAAACAATACCCCAAATATTAACTGTGGTTATGTCTCTATAGAGCAATCTTCCGTCATTTTAGGCTTTTGCACCAAGCAGTTTTTCCATTAAGCATGTTTTTTGTTTTTTTTTTTTTTTTACTTTTTCAGTGGAATATTTGTCAAGAAAGAGAAAGGCTGGGTGTGGGGGCCCACACCTGTAATCCGCATTTGGGAGTGGGAGTAGGAGGCTAAGAAGTTCAGGGTCATCCTCAGGAAAGAGATGGGCCTGAACTACACTTGACCATCTTGGGGATGTTTTGTTGTTTTTTTGTTTTGTTGTTGTTTGTTTGTTTGTTTTTTGAGACAGTTTTTGTATACATAGCTCTGGCTATCCTGGAACTCACTATGTACACTGACCTAAATGCTGGGATTAAAGGCCTGGGCCATCACACCCAGCCACAATTGATCATGAAAGGGAAGGAAATGAGATGAACAAAACAGGAAATACAAGTGGACAAAGCCAGGAGGAGGTTGGAGGGATAAGACAGACACCTATCTACCTGACACGATTTAGGCATCGTAACACCCAGAGGGCAGGGCTGCTTGTCTCATTGCTGTCGGACAATCCCTTTAGTGCTGCTGATCAGCCCCCTCTTGCTTATCAGTGAAGGACAGAACACCTGGGGATGCGCATAGACTTTGTGTGACAGATTGGACACTCTGGTTGGTTTGATAAAGCACCTATCCCTAGGGGAACTGTCGTGCTGTATGACCTTGGGCAAGTCAGCCCGCCCTCCAAAGTGACTTTTCTGCCTGCTCATTCTTCTGGAGGAGACTTCCCCTTTAAGTTTCCAGAAAACAGGATGAACAGGAAGATGGCAGGAGGCAAGCTGGCTCCTCTCCCAACATCCTTTTTTCCTTGTGTCACTCTCTTCTGAGTGCACTGGGGACTAATTCATATGTATCTGTTATCTCTTTCCAGGAAATGATCGAAATGGCTTAGATTTCAACAGACAGGTAAGAGCTTGGGTCAGAAGACATTCATCTTGTAAATTCTGGGGGTGTCAGACAAATGTAACATTTGTTGGTGTTCTTGGTAATCTAGCTTTCGGAGTCCATCCTCCTTGTCACCACCATGATTCAGAGTTCAGGTCTGCCTTCTAGAGAGCTCTGATTAGTGAGGCAGCTTTGGGGAACTGCATGATGTGTGTAGTTGGGTAACTACCTGCAGAGCTTCAGGTCCCTCAGTGGATATGATGTGGACTATCTGATGGTGGAGAAGAAGTTATAGAGATCCAAGGGACAAAGTGGCTGTTCTTCTGTAAGAAACTCTGGACTGAAAAGGAGATGATAGAGGCCATGGCAAGGAAAGAAGCATTCAGACAAGAGCATTCTGGGGCTGGGGAAGCAGCTGTGTGTGTGTGTGTGTGTGTGTGTGTGTGTGTGTGTGTGTGTGTGTGTGTGTGTATGTATGAATGTATGTATGTATACACTGCTTGCCTAGCGTGCAGGAAGCCTTTGGTTCCATCCATAGTATCAAGGAAACTAGACATGGTGGTGCATGCCTGAAATCCTCACATTTTGAAGGACAAAGGAAGATCAGAAATTGAAGGTCATCCTTTGCTACCTAGGAAGTTCAGCTGCCTCAAAACAAGACTATGCAACCATGCTTGGGGAATGGGGGCACTAGCTTAGGGCTTTGGAAGGCACCCAAAGTGGATAGTTAAACTTAGCTTGGGAGGGCTTTGCACAGAATAACATGGAGTTTGAAGATAGCAGAGAAATCAATAGGAATGGCTAGAGATAAAGTTGAAATGACAAGCTGATGAGAAGCCTGGAGGGGGAAGTAAGGTAAGGTGTGAGCAGAAGTCTGGGCTGATGATAATAATGGGGAGCTGTGGGTGATGATGAGGGTAAACACAAGCCAGGAAGCCTGGGTGTTTGCTCCTCTTTCTGTTGGCCTCTAGCTTGTTAACTTTTAAGTGTAAGCATGTATAAGCCTGTGTGTGTGTGTGTGTGTGTGTGTGTGTGTGTGTGTGTGTGTGTGTGTGTAGGGTCTCAGATGATCATCAGACTCCTTCCTTATACTCTTGATAACCCCTGTCCAGGCTTGGGTGGAAATGTGGGAAGGAGCTGGGTCAAATATGCATTACACAAATTGCTTATGTTCCTGTATTCTCTTATTTGAAGAGGGAATCCAAAGTTACTGCTAATATTTCCTTTAAAGGCTGTTCATTCTAAAAACATCTTTCATGGTTAAAAAGAGAATAATTTAGAGTCTTAAACCAAAACCTATCAGGCAGGCAAGTTTGTTCATCAGGAAGGTTGAGAAATTTGCCTACAAATGAAAGCCAACTGTTCCTCCCTCTGCCGTGGAGACTAGGGGTCTTAGACCCCATTAAAGAGAGATCTAGGTTAGCTATGAGGAAGGATTCCCAGACTATGCAATATAATAAATTCTGGAATACCTAGAGAGGAAGATTATAGAATTAGCTTCTTGCTTAATGTAGGATGGGAGACAGATTCTTATCTGAGAGAACATTCCAGCCAGTCAGACATGGGAGTCCCCATCTGGTACAGTCAGTAGTGGGAGGCAGGAGGTACAGAGTTAGACCCTGTCTCAACTAAATCCCCAACCCTAAAAAAAAAAAAAAAAAAAAAAAAAAAAAAGGTGGCAGGGTAGGGATGGGGAATTTAACCAGGAAAATTCAATGGATGTCCAAGAATTTTGTAACTCTGAAGGAGTATTGAGTAGGTTGAGACCTCATGGCCCTCACTCAGCCTGAGTCTGCTTCTCAATACCACCAGGCTTTGATAAGTAGTCAAGGAGATGACCAAAAGGTGGCCATGCCAACTGCCAGGCAGAGTATTTGGTCACATGTGTAATGCAGCTTTCTAAGTCCTTGTGCTGGACAGTGTAGGAGTCTGCATAGAGGTCTTGGCCCTTTGCACATCTTTCAGTGTGGTCTTGCCTCTGGGTCCTTACACTGACAGGAACAGATGGGACAGAGTTTTCTTCTGGGGAGAAGGTTGGAGGCAGAAGCATGCAGCCTAGACATTGCACACTTCCCTGGGGCTTTGCCCATAAGCATGTTCACAGCCTCTCAAGGTTCCTTTTCTCTGCCCTGTCTGTCCCTTGAAGGCCATCAGATCTCAATATCTACACATTCAGAGCTTCATTCCACCTCAGCCCCTGCTTGGCAGTGATGTCCACTACCTCAGTACTTCACAAGCGAAGGCAGCCCACAGCCACTGACCACCAATGCTGCAGGCTCTTTATCTCACATTATTTCTATCCAGGAGATAATTATGTATTGCTATCCTGACTCTACAGGTGAGGAAACTGCCTCTAAGGCAGCCACACCTTTTTCAGCAAGGACCTGAGAGATTATGCAATTTGACTAAGGTCGTGCAGTTGGTCAACTGGCTGGGCCAGGATTTAAATCCACGCCTCTGATTCTAGAACTTATTTTCCCTTGGTTCCTCTGCTGAATCCTCCTCTGCATCTCTCCATCTATATACACCATCCTTGGGGAGAGGCCTGGGAGCAGAGACTGAAGATGACATCATTATGACTAAATGGGAGGCAGAGGGAGTGGGGAGAGGACAGGAGGAAAGCATGGTTATGCTCAGACACAAACAAGATGTTGTCATACTCCCCAGAGTGGAAGAGTATGCTGCCCTTGGTGCAGCCCCTGTGTAAAGCCTGGTGCAACTAGGAGTTGCAGGCTGGAGCTGGATGAATGGCAGTTCTGGAGTTGCATGAGCTAGGGGTGTTGACTCACCCACTGTGTGTGAAGTATGGCCCTGCTGAGCCAGTGATCTTTAGGAGGTAGTTGTGTAGTTGTGTGCAGGCAAAGGACCCATGAATAAAGGTTCTTTGTCCCAGGGCAGGTAGAATGGGGTTGAGAGGCAGCATGCTGTGGGGGCGGTGGTCAGATGCCCGGATGGAGGCAAGCCGTGGCCTCCAATGTTGCCTGTCCTTTGTTAGTTGCTGGCCTTCCACATGCTTCTCCCTTCTGGGACTCAGTCTGCTCATGAACAAAATGAATAGGTTTGGATATGATGATCTCCAAGAATCCTATAGTCTACGTGCTAAGAAACTACTGAGCTGGACTTGGGCTCCCACTTTTTGAGAGAAAATTTGGTCTGAGAAGAGAATTCTGTAAGGAATGATGGGTGTTGAACTCTGCAATACTGCCTGAGAATCTCTCAGAAATGAGGGTCCTGGAAGTGGGTGGCTAAGGAATAGTGGGACTCTAACTGACAGAAAGTGTACACAGTGTCCCAGGCATAGAGGACAGTGAGTATGAAGACTTCACTCAAAGAAAGGACTCAGTTTGGGAGAACTGGAGAGGCGCAGGGGATGAGTTGGCAGAACATGAAGCCAGAGCTATGGGTTGGGCCAAATTAGGAAGACCTTTGTGTGCTAGCCCTTAAGCTCAGAGCTTCTACAGGAAGTTAACGAATAACAGCCAAGGACAAAGCACTGATGAGGAACATGGGTGAGGAAGAGGAGGAGGACAGATTGAGATCTGATGCTGGAAAGATTAAATGTTAAATGGGATGGTGTTGTAATGCACAGAGATGGGTAGATTTACAGCCAGGAATCAGAGCAAAGATGCTGAGTATATCATCATCTCATTTCATCTGGGTTCAGATCCTGCCTCTGTGTTGTATGATTATATGGCCTTGGGCATGTTTTTCTATCTCTGTGTGGCTCAGTCTCCTCATTTGGAAGATGGGGAGGATAATATCTTTTACATGGGACAGTTGTGGAGATCAAAGGTGACATGAGTGTGTGCACCATACACAAGAACCTGAACACATAGACTGTAGCATTTTCTGTGACTAGTGCGTCACTGGATGTGAAGAGTTCCAGGTCTGAGTGAACCCACTTTGAGATATGATCAGGGGTGTTAGGGCAACAGGTTGGATATGGACTGGGAAACAGAGGGGTGAGTAAGATGTGACCTTAAGGCTCCTGATCGTAGGTGGGACTGTTATCTGAGGACAAGAGGACAGACCCAGGGCCATTTCATCCAGTAGCAGGTGGAGGAGGGATGAGGGGATAGGGAAATACAGGTACTCCATAGGTGGTGAAAAGTTTGGATCTGGAGCCCAAGCTGGACATGGGTCAGGACTGAGGCTACCCTGACTCCGACTCCATGAAGAGATGGGATGGAGAGAAGGGCTTTACTCAAGGAATTGAGAAGGAACCCTCAGAGATGGGCTAAAGACTGGGTGCCTGTAGGTGACTCTACGAAGGGATGACGAAAGGGAGTAGAGGAGAACCACACTGAGGCAGGGGAGATTTTGTGATGATGGTAACAGCATGCGGATATACTGATGAGCCCCAAGTCTAAAAATGGGATAGTAGACTGAACAGGATGACAGGCACTGATGTTGGCCCATGTAGTCCTTAGTGAGAGCAAATACCAAACAACCATGGTTGAGAGTTGAATGGGAATTAAGGAAGTGTTAAGATTTGTACTACAGAATCCCCTTTTGAGGAAGGGGATTGTGGAAGTGTGAGAGCATTGACTTAAAAATAAGAGTGTAGAGAGAGGGCTTTGGGGGCTGAGGAGGCAAGAGGTGGGGACATGCAACGTAGAAAGGGAGCATGGTGGTGGCACACAGGGGAACCCAGTGGAGGGCTTAGATGATGAGTAGGGCTATTCTGAGAAGGATGGAGACCGCCCTAAATGTTTTGAAGCCTTTCTATTCTGTTTTGTTTGAGACAAGGTCTCATGTAGCCTAGGCTAGCCTTGTACTCACTATGTAGGCAAGGTTGGCCTTGAATCCTTCTGACTTTATATCTGAAGTTCCAGGATCACAAGGGTATGCTACCACACTCAGCCCCCTAATTCTGTGAGCCACTGGAGAGTCTGAAGCAAGTGGGAAAGTTTATCCTGTTCTCCAAGCTGTCTGGGTATCAGTGACCTAGAGTTTCCTGTCAGTCTCAGCTTGGCAGTATTTGGGTGTCCATTGACACTATATGTAGCTCACCTATGTCC